ATGCAAAAATGTTTACGCATCGTAATGCTACCCCTTATCGGCCCAAAGCTAATGGCGCCATTGAAGCTGCAAACAAGAATATCAAGAAGATCCTCATGAAAATGATTCAAAGTTCTAGATAGTGGTATAAAAAGTTGCCTTTTGCACTACAGGGATATCTCACAACCGTGCGCACATTAGGTGGGGCCATACCCTATTTATTGGTTTATGGTACTGAAGCCGTAATACCTGTAGAAATTGAGATTCCCTCTCTTTGAATCATTGTTGAAACTGAGATCGAGGATGATGAATGGGTCAAGACCCGGTTGGAACAATTAGCTATGATAGATGAAAAGTGGATGATCACAGTTTGCCACAGGCAGTTGTACCAACAAAGAATGGCCCGTGCCTACAACAAGAAAGTGCGGCCCAGGAAATTCGAAGTGGGGCAACTTTTTCTTAGACGTATTCTCCCGCATCATGAAGAAGCAAAAGGAAAATTTACTCCAAATTGGAAAGGTCCGTACATTATAAGAAGAGTGTTGCCGAGAGGAGCGTTGTACTTCGGAGACATTGAAAGAAATGACCCTGAAATAGTTGTTAATGCAGATGCAGTCAAGAGGAATTATGTTTAACCCTTTTCGCAACTTTAATACTCTCCGATTGGGATAACGAAGGCTTTCATTCCAGCTACCCAAACACTACCAACCCTTGCAAACCTTTTGAGCCGGTTCCTTTTTTCTTTGATTACCCTCTTTGAAACCTGAAAGTTGTGTTAAAAAAGATGAAAAAAATGATGAAAAGAAAGAAACAAAAGAAATCAAAAACAAAAGTTCTTTGAACTATGTTCGACTTGATTCCGAAAGGATAGGTAGGCAGCCTCTCTCTGGGGTTTAGCCACACCAAAATAAAAATCCACATTTCCCCAAAGTTGAAATAGGGGCAAAAGCTACAATCATTCGGCAATGATTTCGCCAAAAAGTTTCCAAAGTTGTAATTCAATCCAAATTTCTTTTTCACCCAAATCCTTTTCAAGTCCTTCAGATCGATCGACAAATATGTTCAACTTGGAGGGTACAGTTACTTGGATCTGATACAACAAAATGAGAGAAATAAAATGAGAGTGTCTTATTGGTGAAAACCCTCACCGACATCATAAGGCGATGGTAAGAAAAGAAATTAAAATAAGAGAGTCTTGTTAGTGAAAACTCGCAAAGAGCACTATAAAGTGATGATGAGAAGAGAAATGAGAGAGGTCAGCTGGTGAAAACCCGCAAAGGGCACCACTGATCCAAGAGAGGATCCTCACATCCATCGGCATCGACAAAGTCTTGGCAAGGTTTCTCGATTTTGAGGCAAATTTTGTGATGAATTTCTAAAAGTTGGATGGTTTACACAGATCAGGCATCCAATCCAAGAGGCATGTCATGTTCATTGAGGTCCGCATGTACTCCAGATAAGTCCTTCTTTTTTTCCCCGAAAGGGGATACCTCTCGTCTAATTTCATTTGTCCATTCCATTGTTTGCTTTTCTGTAAATCCCTTTTTGTCTAATTCTGTTCGAAAACTAAGACAAAGAAAGAATGGCAAGATTGATTTACAGTGTTTTTGTCTTATACGGTCCAATATTCAAGAAGGCACCCAGTCTCGACAGGTGCATCGAGTCGACTCCGACTGGCCATGATGGCCGATGTTTCGAAATCAAAACTCCTGAAGAGAAAGGAAATCAAAGTCAAATGACCACAAAGACAAAATAAGGTTGAAAGTTTAAGTCCTACGTGACTAACTGTCATGGAAAAGTCTGGAAAAGCCAGATGTTCTCCAAGGTTATAAATGCAATTGGTATTCAGGAAATAACTAGTTGAAGCTGAAAGGGCCGAAATCAAGTGACTGAAACATTCTAGGCCACAAAACCAACCACCGTTTTAAACAAACAAATTGTTCTTTATTTGACAAACAGGAAACATGTGCTATCCAAAAGAAACCTTGCAAGAAGCAGGTGCAACCAAAAAGAAATTGCGGAAAAGCTAGAAACAGCTTTGCAGCAGCCACTCTGAAAGGGAAGTCTCCTCCAAAATTCTTTCCTGAATTTACTCATTCTCTGAAATAAAAACAAGAAGAAGGAAATGATAATGACAAAAAAAAATTTTCCAAAGCATGGTAGTATAGGGTCTCCAATCTCTAACTGCGTTTTTCAACATAGGGTTTCCACTCCCTAGTTGATGATCTTTAGATATAGGGTCTCCACTCCCTAGTCGTTTTTCGAACAGAGGGTCTCGACTCCTTAGTTGATAATTTTTAGACATAGGGTCTCCACTCCCTAGTCGTTTTTCTAACGTAGGGTCTCCACTCCCTAATTGATGATTTTTAGACATAGGGTCTCCACTCCCTAGTCGTTTTTCCAACATAAGGTCTACACGCTCTAGTTGATGATTTTTAGACATAGGGTCTCCACTCCTCAGTCGCATTTCCAAGATAGGGTCTCCACTCCCTAGTTGATGATTTTTAGACATAGGATATTCACTCCCTAGTCGCTTTTTCAACATAGCGTCTCAACTCCCTAGTTGATAATTTTTAGGCATAGGGTCTCCACTCCCTAGTCACTTTTCCAACATAGGGTCTCTACTCTCTAGTTGATGATTTTTAGACATAGGGTCTCCACTCCCTAGTTGATGATTTTTAGACATAGAGTCTCCACGCCCTGGTCGTTTTTCCAACACAGGGTCTCCACTCCCTAGTTGATGATTTTTAGGTATAGGGTCTCCACTCCCTAATCTCTATTTTCCCAAAGGTACACAACCCTAACCTTTTACTTGCTTTCAATAATGAAGCAGTATAGAGTTTTATTACAAATAACTCACAAAATTTATCTAGTGAAAACTTGGGTAGAAAAATTTCGTTCATTTGTTTTGGTGTCTGAGTAGGTTATAGCCCGAGGCACAGAGTTCAAGATGACCAAAAGAAGAAGTCTCAATCCAAAATAAAGAAAAGAAAAAGAAATGAAGTGAATCAAAAGTACAGAAATGGAGAAAAGATATGGACGGCTCAAGACATGACTAAAGTTATAAGCTTTGCATGTCCCGCCTTGACCCAGAAATCTGAAGAAGAATGAACCAACACCTGCAGCTAACAAGCATCAAGTTTCAGATCGGAGTTCGCGCGAGGAACCAGTCAAGACTCAAGATCAATCTTCAGATGACTCATAGATAGGAATCTTGTAACTCGTAGCAGGCAGGCTTAGTTAGTCTTTTTCATTTTTGATTTTGGTGTAATAAGGAGCTTAACAAGCAGCAATAACAGTGAAATCACAGCTTCTCAGTAGTCTCAGCTACGAAAATTCTTAGAGCTGCACTGACCTGATTCCTTTATAGCCAAGGATATGTAGGCAACCTCCGAAGCAAGGTTCGGTAAAACTTTTTCAAAGTGGTTCCCAAGGAGTATCCAAACGGGCAAAAATCGCTTGTAATTGCTCACTTTATCCTAGCCCGAAAACTCTCCATGTTTTCGAGCAAAGAGGGGCAGCTGTGAGCATGTAATTTTTGCCCGACTACAATACTCTCACAAAATTCACAAATAGATTTTTTTAATTGTTTTTAATTTTCATAGAATTTGTAGGGATTTTTTAATTAATTGTTTGCATTTAGTTGTATTTTTCATGCATTTTAATATTTTAAAATCATAGAAAAATATAAAAAATGTCAAAATCTTCATTACATAGCATTGTTAGGTCTTAATTGCATTTAGAGCTTAATTACATAAGTTAATTGCATTATTAAACAAAAAACACAAAAATAATGGTCATTTTACATATGTAGCTTTTAGTTTTAAAATTAGTATTTGTCTTTCATTAATTTAAGTTAATTAATTATTGTGATGTTAGAAATAGACAATTAATTTAATTATACAAAATAAATTTGATTTAGGACTTAATTTAGGATTTTAATTAACTTTATTAGGTTAAAAAATCAAGAAAGGAAAGAAAAAGGAAAAAAAAGGGAAGAGAGGTTTAATCCCAAATTGGGCCAAAGCCATTTTTGATTGGCCCCATTGCCCTAAAGTCTATCTAGTTCGCCGCTTGCCCAATCCCATACTTCCCAAAGATCCGGTCCAACATTCTCTAGCCCAAAATGACAGTGTTTGGACTAAACTAATCTTAGCCCTCCTTTATTCTAATCCAACGGTCCGCAACTAACTACTCTTACCCCTTAAAAATGTCGGAGAACCCCCAAGCCCTAGAGAACCAACCCTATTTCCCCCTTTCTCATCTCTTAACTTGTCTCTCTCACCTCCGCCGTCCGCCACTCGCCCGAAAATCGCCTACGGCGGCAGCAACACCCTAAACCACCCCAAATTGACACCAAATAATCTCCAACACCCCTTAATCATCATCCTACCACTAATTTCCTCAAAATTCCCACGCTTCTTCTCCAATTTAGGATCTAAGAAGTTACAGAAAACCTAAATTCCCCTATTTCGAGTGTCCCTAAATTCCAACCTACCTGAGGTTCATACCAACCTTAATTGAACACTCTTGTCAAGAGTTATCAAATTGAAGTCAATTTTGGACCTATTCTAGGCCACCCGAACCCGGCCACTACCATGAAAGCCCCATAAGTTGATTTCTTTTGCTGCATATAGCATTGGATATGCCCTCAATGTGGGTTAATGCTCATGTAGCGATGCCGGCTATAGCCGGATATCTCTTTTCCCAGGCAGTTTTGTTCATTATTGGTAACCCTCCTTTTCACTTCTTTAATTACTACTTATCTTATTTAATTGCTTGATATTTTCTGTTACATGTTATAGACATCATGTTTAGTTTAGTTTCGATTTAGTTAAATTGTCAATTGATAATTGTGTGAAGGTTGCATCAATATATAATTGTTAGCATATTTCTTTTCCCAAGGTTTAGCATGTTCTAGGTTAGGTAAGATTTCAAATCCATTGCTTCTATGTAGGCCAATATTTTAGATGCATAGTATGCAGTTTCAATTAAGTCAAAGTAATCTTGATTAGCTAATTGTATGTTTAAATTCGTTTAATCACCTAAATAGGCTAAAGTTTGAATATTGCTTGTTGTGCTGTGATTTTTTATTTATGAGTTTTTTTGTGATAGTTGTTTGTAATTACTGAAATTCAGAGGTCTAAAAGAAATGGAAAAAATGGAGGAATCTGTTTTGTTTGGTTGGAAATACATTAAAATGGGGAATAAGTTTAAATGTTGGGGTAAGAATTGGATGATAAAAAGTTTAAAAGGGTCTGGGAATAAAAGAAGCTTCTAGACCCAATCTGTTAAGAAAAGAGATGAGAGCGAGAGGAAATATCCAAACACTGGACAGCGGTCCATTTTTCTATTTTAGAAGATGCCAATTTCCTAATTTTAAGGGGATGCTGGCAGATTCCCTCAACCTCTCTCGTTCTTTATCATTTTGCACTCTTATACCCTATAAAAGAGACCTCACACTCCCTCGGACTGGACACACGAAAAATACCTCAGAAAATTGAAGACTATCTTTCAGAAATTCCTCTTTTCATTCTCATTCTGATTTTCGTTTCTTCTTGAGTTTAAATCTATAAATAGAAAAAAAAAAGAGGAAGAATTTCAAAGCTGTTGGTTCTTTCCACTTTGCTATTGGTCTTTTTTTTTGCTCGAATTATGATGGGATTTCTAGTTGGTTGTTGTTTCTCTTGTTCTTGAATTGCTGGGATTCTTCTTTTGTTGGCCACATTTCATTTTGTCGATCTTTTACTCATGTTGGTTCCTGTTGCTGTATTTGTTTTTGTTGTTGCCTTTTTTGCCAGTTTCAAAGATTTATTTTCTGTCTGTTTTGATTCTGCTGTAACCATGTATGAAGCCGAGCATCTGTTTCTTCCATGGTTGTGTACAAGAAGTTTGGAAATAATTGTAGGATTCCATATTGATGCAGGAGTGTTTGTTTAAAACTTCTAATTTTGTGTTATGTGGTTTAGTTCCTAGTCGATATGTAATGTTAAACATTTTTATTAAATCTTCGAGTTGGTATAGTCTATTGGTAGATTTGAAGTGATTTGGAAAACCTGTTTATTACTTGTGAGTTTATGACTTGGTTTGAACTTGAGTTTAACACACTTGTGCTGAAGGGTTCTGAATAGCAAATTTAACCATCAATGATGTTATTTTTAGCTTCTTTTGTCATTATAGAAGGATTTGGTTAAAAAAAATATATTTTGTGACAACAGTGGAGTAACAGCATGTTTGGACGCTCAAACGTAGCCTAGAGATTAGCCATTCCATTTTGGCTTGTTTACTTGTTGGATATCCTATTGTTGTGATTAATAGTCATTTGTTTCTCATGAACAATTGAAAGCATTGGTGACAAACATAGAAGTCTGGCCAGTGCTTGGCTTGATTTTTAAGTTCCACTACTTGAAAGTGGTCATTTATGTAATAGGTTAATTTATGTAATAATTTGTTGCATCAATGGTGGATACAGTTGTATAAATTGAAAAAGGATCGATAGCTATTATTCAGGAGTATAAATTTCCAATCATGGAATGCTGTCCTACAGTGACAAAAAAATAAAGTATTGTCGAAAAATGCCTCGCAAAATGACCAATTAAAGTCTTCATTTATGGCAGGACAATGGTATCCAAGGTCATTATCTCCCGACGCACAATGAATTCTCAGTTGTGGGGAATCAGAAGGAAGTTTGTTGATAACATGTACCTGAAACTTCGTAGTAAAGATGCATTTTTTTGCTATTGAAAGGTTAAGGGGCATTAACAACAAGAAGATGTTGATCAAGGAGAGAGTCATATTGAGAAAATAATAAGTATGGCAAAAAGTAAAGGAGGTTCTAGAGTTTTATACACAAAATCTTGATATGGATTCCTGCAATTTGTACCTTTCTGAAATCCTTTAATGTTTTTTTTACACTCTCGTTAAATTTGATGAAAGATAATTAATTAAGACATGATTAAATTAAAAAAAATATTTATTATCTAACTGATTAAAATTTTAGATGATTCATCATATAACTAAATTCCTATATAGACATTAAAACTTTGATTGGGTAAAGTCTATACAAATTTAAGTTGGCTTTAAGTCCTAATTAGAGCTGTCAAAATGGGCCACCCGGTCCAACCCAGTTCAAGTCTCGCGGGCTTTTAAATTTGGTAGGCTAGGACGGACCGGCCAGCCGTTTGAGTGGCCCTTAAAATGGCCAGCCCAACCTAGGCCTAAAAAGACCGCAGGCTAGGTTTGATCAGTCCTTCATTTTTATTAAAAGAAAAATTCTTTAAATCTTTAAAAATTTCTTCATGACATATTCTCTTAATCACGTGAACAACTTCTGTTTGCTTAGAGCATATAGCCTGATATTTGACAAAGAATCTCGTAATTAAAGTGCTAAGTTATCTATAACTTTAGTTCTTCTTTTTGTCGTTAGATGAATATTTTTTTATAAGTTTATAGACCAAGGTCTTTTATTTTAGGATAAACACCATTTACTAATTTCATCATTAAGTCAATAAAAATTTTAAAATTCATGAAAATTTACAAGTATTATGATTTTTTTCGGGTATTAAAAAATAATCTTTTCTATACTGAAGAAAATTTATTTATTAATAATATATTAGAGTAATCCAAAATGATCATTGGCCAACATAATATTTTTCTTTGGGAAAAATTATTATTGGTCATTTAAAATTTTCTTAGTTCGTTATTAATCAAGCAAAAGAAATATTAATCTTGTCATACTACATGTATATCAAAAATCTGAATTCTAGTTGATATGGAAGAGCAAATGAGCAATCTAGGGTTGATGAATGAAGATTATGGTTAATAGAATAAATATTAAATATTTAAATTTATTTAATTAACTTTTGGCTCGTGGGCTGTCCCAAGCCTAGCCTTGGTCAAGCCTCAAGGACTAACACGCACACATGGCCGAGCTTATAAGTCTAAGTTTTAATTAGGATAAAAATATTTTAACCTAGCACTATCCAAATAGCGGGCCTGGTTGGGCTGGCCTCACAGGCCAAACTCATTATAACGGGCCTAGTCCTAATTAAAAAATGATTGGCACATATAAATATTAGAATGATATGGAAATTACAAAATTACAATGAAGAAGATGGAAGAATCGGTGATATATTCCGTGGCAGATCCAATGATCATTTCGAGTGCTCAACCGCCCATTACCATTGACTAGATTTAGTAAATTCGCTTAGGCGATTAAAATATATTTGGATAATATTGAGTGGCTCACCCATAATTAAACTCTTTTTTTCTCTTTTTTCAAACTTTTTATTGGCTATCACATCCATAACTTTAAATTTCTGGATCCGCTACTAATATATTTATCATGTATTTAATGCACATTCATCGAGAATGATGGCAATAAATTTTCAAGTTTTCGATGGGCTGCCAGTCCAAAAGAAGGAAAACCACAAGGCTTAGTCACTTCTTCTCCCCTTAGCCATTGATGTCCCTACACCCTGTGTAGGGACTTTCCATCTTGTGTTAGCCCCTACACCTTTTTAATAATATTTATCCTTTTATTATTGTAGAGAAGCAAGTTCTATCAGTAAATCAAGCGTATGCAGTAGCTGTGCAATAAGAGAGTCAAAGAGCACTAGGTGTTGTTGAACCAAACAAGGAACTATTAACAATGCTTGCAGGAAGGGGTCAAATGTTCGAAGGCAAGAAACCAGGGCTGATTTGTGAGCACTATGGTTATAAAGGTCACCTGAAGGAGAACTGCTACAAAATAATAGGCTATCCTCCAGATTTCAAAAGCAAGAAGAAAGGGCAACTAGGTACATATAAACTATTTGCTAATAATGCTAACACAAATGCAGGTATTGAGACCAGAAATCAGCCACAAGGAAACTACCTCACAGAAGAATAGTACAAACATTTGGTAAACTTGTTGGAGAAGACTTCACTAGGAGAAAGAAGTGCGGGACCATCAGAGTTAAGAAGATCCTCAAACGTGGCTGGTATTATGTCATTGATGTCTGATGTATACAATATATGTGTATATGATTGGATAATCGACTCAGAAACAGCACATCACATAACATTCTGCAAAAATATATCTGATTCCATTAGACATATAGAGGGACAAAGTAGTTATGGAGTGCAAATACCTACAAGAGATAGGTCTGAAATCACACATGTTTGAGAGGCTAATATCTTAGAGAATCAAAAAATTAAGAATGTCTTATATGTGCCAAACTTTAAGTCCAACTTGCTCTTATTGTCCAAATTGACTAAGGACCTATGCTGCTCTGCATGTTTATTTCCTGATTTTGTATGTTTCGGAGACTATACAGTGGCAGGGTGCTGGGGATTGCTAAAGAGGATAATGGAGTTTACATACTTAGTAGAGGAGATGTTGTTGCTGCTGGTTCATTTCACAAAGAAGGGGTGACCACCACACTATGGCTCAAAGGCTATGACATACCTCTACACATGCTATGCAACATTTGCCAGATTTGATGAATAAAGTGAAGCTAGAGATGCAAAATGACTGTACAAATTTGCCTTTTAGCTAAACAAAGTAGACTGAAATTTCCTATTAGTAATAGTAGTTCAAGTTGTGTGTTTCAATTAGTGCATGCTGATGTATGGGGCCTTTACAAGATAACAACCTATGATAGAAAATAATATTTGTCACTTTGGTTGATGACTATATTAGGTATACTTGGACTTGTTTGCTGAACTCAAAATGTGAAGTCTTTGTTGTATTGAAAGATTTTCTTTCCTTTAATCAGTTTGGTACAATGGTTAAGACATTGGGAACAGACAATGGAATAGAATTTTTCAATAATCAGTGTAATGAGGTTCAATTCACTTGGGATTGTTCATCAAAGCAGTTGTTCATATACTCCACAACAGAATAGAGTAGTGAAAAAGAAGCACATACCCATCCTTGATGTGGCTAAAGCACTCAAGATACAAAGTAATATGCAATCAAATTCTGGGGAGAATGCATTAGGACAGCAGTATACCTAATCAACAAGATACCTACAGATGTCCTAAATAAAAGATCTCCTTATGAATTATTATATAGTAAACAACCAAGTATATATCATTTGAGTGTATTTGGTTGTTTGTGCTATGCTAGTACCCTACCTAGAGGAGGTAAGTTTTCTCCTAGAGCAAGGAGGACACTAATGATAGGGTACTCAAAGACACAAAAAGGGTACAAACTATCTGATTTAAAATCTAACATTTTCTTTGTCAGTAAGGATGTAAACTTTAGAGATGATGTCTTTGCTTTTCAAGGTGAAGAAGCATGTTATGAGGATTAGTTCACTCTTGTTCTAGTAGACTTGAACACTAGTTCACCAAGAACAAATGTTGATGATGCCCTGTTACAACTCAGGAAGACTTAAGCAATGAAAGTATGAATGAAGAGGCAATCCCTTCTATTCTCCCTCAACCAAGCCACACGGCAACAAATTCATCAGATATAGACCTGGATGAGTCATCAGGAGAAAATGTAGATATGCCAAATGCATTAGAAGATGTTGTAGCTGAACCTCTAGCAATTATGGAAGAAACTGAAGCAGGTTTGCAAGAGCAGCAAACACCAACTCAATAGTTGCAGTCATTTGAACCTGTTGATAATGCAGAAGCTCCCACTGTTAGGAAATCTATCAGAGGTACAAAACCATCAATTTGGCTCAAAGACTATTTTACTTGATGGAAACATCATGACACATTGCCTATCTAATCTTTCATTATGACAATTACACGCATTTTCCACAACACTACCAAGCATATCTCACTAGTTTATTTGCCCTTATAAAACCAAAGATTTTCTATGAAGCCTCTATAGATGAGAAATGGATTAAAGCTATGCAAGAAGAAATTCAAGCACTTGAAACTAACAAAACCTGGGAGATAGTAGAGTTGGCACCAGGAAAGAAAGCAATTGGCTCAAAGTGAGTGTACAAAATCTAATACAAATCAAATGGTGAGATTGAAAGGTTCAAGGCACGCTTAGTGGCTAAGGGTTATACACAACAGGAAGGTCTTGACTACCATGAGACCTTTTCACTTGTTGCAAAAATGATCACAATGAGGACTGCGATTAGCCTTGCAGCCTCTAAGGGTTGGAAGTTATTCCAAATGGATGTAAATTTTTTGCAGCGTGATATTTGAAAAGGAAAGCAGTTGAATTATGTCAAGTGCCAACTAAGGAATATGTCAACTAAGGAAAGAAGTTAAATCCAATATTCTGAATGAAGCCAACAAGGAAACAAATAAACGTTTATTTATATATATGGACAGATAGATTCTCCCTGACTAATTCAAGCCATTGAAAACTCTTTTCCAATTCCTCTCTTGTAGCCGTTGGGTCTGCCTTGAAATTACTTTTCCTTGCCTTTTTCATTTCCAATCTCTTGTGTATATAATATGATATCTTTTATGTTAGAAAATACAGAACATGAATGAGATTATTCTATGTTCAAATCTCTTCATGTTATCAGAGCCCTCACATGAGATTGGAACAAGCAAAACTCTCATGGCCAATTCTAACCAACTAGTGCAAGAACCCTCTATTTCTCATCAAACATTGCACTAGTGTACTAGTCTCATCTCATTGAAACTAGACACTTCAAACTTCTCACTTTGGCGTTCTCAAATAGAACCTTTGATTCAGAGCATTGGAATAGAACATCACCTTACCAATGAAAGCAAACCGGAAAAAGAAATCACTGGGACGATAGAAAGGCTGCTCCAAATCCGCAGTACCTTACCTGGATCAACAATGATGACTTGCTAATATCTTGGTTACTAAAAAATACAGAGATAGAGGTTCTAATGTTGGTGGAAAACATCTAAATGGCACATCAGGTATGGCAATCTATTGAGAATCAGATTCTCCCTACTACGATTGAAAAAGAACAACTTTTGAATGAAAAATTGATATCCCTTAAAAAGGGAAACATGTCTCTTGATAAATACCTTAAGAATTTCAAAGGCTTATGTGATAGCTTAGCTGCAATTAAAAAGCCCATGGAAGATACAAGTAAAACATTTCGACTAGCTAGGGGTCTTAGTGCTAAATATAAGGATTTTTGAACTGCTATGTTAGCAAAAGCCCCTTATCCTACTTATAATAAGTTTGTTGTAGCCCTGCAAGCTCATGAACAGATGATGATTAATGAAAGCGAGGAGAAAGATCACTTGCAAACTCACCATGAACAAGGTTTCGTCGGATAAAGAGGAAGATGACGACATCGTGGTGGAGGAAGGTTTAACTCGAGAGGACGAGGCTTTGCTCCAGCAGCGCGCCATGGTAATTACAGTGCTAGGCCAAATTTCAATGATAAAATACCATACCAACCAAAGGCAACTAATTATAGTGTCGATTCGCGTCAACAAAAAGAAAGAACAAGCTATCATTTGCCAAATTTGCGGTAAGATGAATCACTCAGCCTTGGAATGTGGGAATCGGTTTGACCATTCTTTTCAACCCGAAGACCAAATTCCTAAGGCCCTTGCTGCAATGAAACTAGAACATGAAGATTCTTCACTCTATGCCGATTCAGGAGTGACAACTCACATCCTAAACAATCTAGGTAAACTTGCCAAAACTACTCCATATAAGGCAATGAATCTATATTTGTAGGAAATGGTGAAAGCCTTCCCATTTATCATATTGGTGAAGGACAACTAAAAACCAAAAATGGTAGCTTAAGTCTGAAAAATGTTCTCATTGTTCCTGATATAAAGAAAACTTTACTCTCTGTTGGACAATTGATCCACGCCAATCCTTGTTTCGTTGAATTTTTTGCTGATGATTTTGTGGTTAAGTCTCAACAGGGCAGAATACTTGCTAAAGGATGCAAAAAAGGAGGACTTTATGCTCTTGGATAAATAAATCAACAAGCTCTCCTTGCCTATAAGAATAAAGCTTCATAAAATATTTGGCACAAAAGGATGGGACATCCCTATTTACGATATCTAAAGATTCTAAAGTCAAAATACTTGATACATAACTCAGATAAGATGTCCGAATCAAGCCTGCCTGCTGGTTGTAGCAATTAACATAGGCAGATTCAATTCTTTGGTTGTTATCACTTAAGGCTTACCTAAGCATTTAGGAGAGATCCTATAGACATGGCATCTATTTAGAATGAAACAAAGCAGTAACAATTAAAGATGAACGATTTGGATCCTATAGGCATACTTTCTAAACTGCATTAAAGTAAAGAGTGAGGTTGTTTAAAACTGATTCAGAGTCAAACTGATTTTAAATTGGTTTCAGATCCTATAGGTAGGATATCTAGTGTTACTCATTTTAATTCCTATAGACATGATATCTAGTCGAGTGTGAATTGAAGCATGCAGTATCCCTATAGGCATGATTTCTACGAAAGGGGGTACTGAAAATGATATCTGATTTTTAGCCCGTCAGTTCCTAAGCATGGTGTTTAAGCGTGGTAATGCAGAAATTAAGACAAGTCCTATAGATAGATTCTCTAAATGCGGAATTCAATATGCAGAATTTAGGTCCTATAGGCACATTCTTTAAATGTAGAACATTCGGGAATTTAATGAAATTGGATCTTATAGGCATGGTATCTAGATGCAAAATTAAACATGCAAAACAACAGATGATATCTAAATTGCAGAACTGAACATGCAGAATTTTAGATCCTATAGACGTGATATCTACCCTTGAGCATGCATAATTACCCAGCCCCTTTCACTAGCCAAGCCCCCCAAATGTTTGTTACAAAATTATTACACACTAGATAATGAATTACATCAAGGAAGCACAAAAGAACAGTTACAATAAGAGGAAGCCTGATTCTTGACTTCCTCTCTGAGTTATGGAATAAACCACCTCAAGTGCTATTTTTTCAATGCCTTTCTCAGACTTGAGTGTGTCAAAGTTCCCTAAGGGTCTCAAGAGGACCCAGGGTAGTGCTCACACCCAAATTGCATAACCAAATATAGATGAGTGCAGTGTGGAAGGGCCAGCCCTTATGTGTCCAAGTTCAGAGGGAGCTCATAGGTTCCAAGGCAAGGCTCACACAAGAGGGGTAGAACTTAAGTCTAAGAATATGGTAGAAGTGCATGAGTAGAGATTTAGAACTGAGTGGAAAATGGAGAGGGGAGATGGGTGAGTTGAACATAGTAGCAGTAAAGGTAAAATCACAGAATCAGCAATTGCACAAAGGGGTCAGGGGTTTGGGAAATACATTGCAAGGAGCATATATCCTTAGGCAAGGACCGGGTTTGGGAATGTACAGTAATAGATGGTGCTGTCATGCCTATAAACCAATCAGAACACACAACATATAGAGGGGATAAGGAGGTTATGATCCCAGGGAATCAGGTTTGGGTCATGCACAGCAATGTTCAATGCTGTCATGCCCCAAACCAACCAAAGATACCAAACACATATGGGATGAGAAACATATGACCCAGAGAGGGTCTGGTTTAGGTCATGCACAACAATGTATGATGCTGACATGCCCTCAAACCAATATACAAACACATAGGGGGTATGGGGTATTGGGGTTCATATATGAGAAAACATTATTTCAGAATAAAAAAAGGGCAGATCATAGTATGCTTGATAATGAAATTCGATTAAACATAAGCAGGAAACAGGTAAGAGTGAAGGAATTAGTAAAGAAACATGTTGTTGTTGATGCTGGAAAAGTAATTAGGACATACCAGTAAAGAAAGAAAATGCAGAAAGAAAAAGTAGACAAGTTTCCCACATCCTAGCCTTGGGTTTTAGCCGGCTAGACAAGATAACAACACAAGTAGTAACAGAGAAAAAAGAGAGAGTTTGAGTGAAGTGCGTGTTTTGAACTCAATTGGTTCGTGTCTTTAAAAGAAGAGGGGTGCAGGGTATTTATAATTTTTTGAAAACGAGTGAAGGAAAAGTGATAAGATACAAACATGGAAACATTCATAGGCCAGAATCAATTATACGAGTGATTCCCTTTAATTAAGGAATTATTGTTTAACAAATTCAAATAAGGAAAGAGATCAGTTTAGATACAGACTGATTATTGTCATAAAAGAAGTAGTACAAGCATTCAGTAAGTAATCAAGTCTAAGTACAAAATATACTTATTTTGGAAATAGATTCAACAAGGTAAATATTACAATAAAGGGAAAAGAATCAATCAATTTTGAATGGGCGAGTGAAATCAGGGTTCATAAAAGGGAAACTTTAGAAATCAGACACAAGGTGAAGATTAATCAAGGAAGAAATTTCAGCATATAAATAAAGTGAACATGATCATCAGACATGTGAGGCCAAACAAAAGAGATAATCACAAACATGCAATAGTGGCAGAAATAAGCTAGTAGTAAAGCAAAATTCGAAGCATATCAATCAAGTAGGTCAAGTCACATTGAATCAATAGTGAAGAAAAATAGAGTATCAGAAACATGCAAAGGTCTCACAGTAACAGATGAGAAACGTTTTGAAAAGTTAGGGTTTCAAGCATAGTCAAGTTTTAAAGATAGTAAAAACCCAGAGTCAGAGGAATCGCATAAAGGAAAAGGGATTCTGAAACAAGGAACTTCAAATCAAATTAGGCATTTAAACGAACAGTTTCAGACCCAAAGCCACAGGGTTTTCAACAATAGTCGAGCCCAAAAAATAGATCAATCAAAACTTAACCAAACAAACACTCATCTAACAAACAACTTTTAGAACTCGACTGAGACCCACATGAATTTAGGGGTTTCAACAACAACGAGTTCGAAAGATGGTAAACAGACGAGTCAAGAAAGATTTTAAACAAACAAACGCACATCTTAAACATATTAAAAGTCAGAGAAGAGATTTTGAAATAACTTAACAGGAAAAACCCTAATCAGAAAAAGACAAAGAGTCGTTTCTGAAAGCAAAATTGAAGAAACTTCGAAAAGATGTTTAAAAGTTTAGAGCAAGCATAGATCTAAAGCAGATCTGAAAGAAATCGAAAGACCTTAGAGATTAGGGTTTCAGAAAACCTAGAAAAGATGAGAAATCCTTTAAAAGTTACCGATCTAACCAAGAGAGTCAAAGGTCTGACTCGAATGACCATGGCCAGCTGGAGAAAGGTCAAAGATGACCGAGGAAGGGCCATGAACTAAAATCGAATGAAGACTGGACCAGTGCTCTTCATAGTCTGGCCTTGAAACCATAAGGATAAACATATAAGAGCCAGGGAAGGCTGGTACAGGTCTCCGATGACCTCGGAAGGCCATGGATTAGGGCAAATTAGGGTGGTGGCGGCTAGGGTTTGAGTGTTGTTTCAGAGAGTGTTTGAGAGGAAGGGGATTCTAAGGCGGCGGTAAGTGAGAAATGATTGGGGTTTGGGGTCGTTTGGAATTAATTAAGGCAAGGGTGACTATTGGCCATTGATTTGAGTGATCAACGGCCTAGATTAAAACGGGTAAGTGAGGCGGTTTATGAAACTGGGTTTGGGGCTGGCCCGATGAGTTCAATTGGGTCGAGAATTGGGTTAAAATTAGGGTAGGATTTAGGCTATGATTGAAATGAATTTGGGTTATTATTTAAATAGACAATTTTCCCTTTTAAAGTTATAAAAAATAGCAAATTGATTTCTGAAAATAAATTAAAGGTACGAAAATGATTTATAACAAATAATTATCAATTTAAAAATACTGGACTTAATTTTTTTTATAAATATAAACGCAATTAAATCTTAAAAGGAGCTAATATTGCAATTATATGCAATTTAGCTTTAAAAAAATACTAAATAAGTTTGTAAAAATATGCAAAAATATCTTAGCTATATTTTTGTATACATATGAGAATCCAATAAATGAATTACCAAAAATAATAATTTTGGGAATTATTATTGGGGTTTTATGAATAAAAATAGGGAAATAAATTGGTTAAAAAAACCTTTTTTTAAAAAAATAAGGAAAAATAATAAAAAATTTGGACACACTTACACATGCATACACATGCTGTTTTGAAAGTATCTTGCATATTAAAAAATATATAGGGAAAAATTAGGAATCAACAACTCACGCTACTTTTTCAAGCTTGCTTACACACCAAATATTGGGTGGATGCTTTCCTTACATTTGTTTATCTCATAAATCTTATGTCTTCTCAATCACTGAATATTGAAAGTCCATTCTTTAAATTATTCAATCACCATCCTGACTATGGTAGTTTGAGAATTTTTGGTTACAGGTGTTTTCCATACCTTAGAGATTATGGAAAGAACAAATTCTCTAAGAAGACATATCCATGCATCTTGTTGGGATATAGTCCTATTCATAAAGGATACAGTTGTTTGGATCCTTTTACAAATAAGATTTATTTATCTAGACATGTTGTCTTTGATGAAACTATTTTTCCTTGTGCCCCTAACAAAGAAAATATATTGCAGGAGAATCTTGAGGTCACAACATTTTCTGATACTGATTCTTGGATACAAAAAGGGAAGAAGAAATCTCAAAAGGAAAGCTCCGACGAAAAGATAAATGACCTCCATATGGAAAAAGAGGAGGACACATCGTACTAGATGACATCACGACAATTGATGATGCATATATCACGCTAGCTATACCTCCCGACAACAATAAAGATCATAGTCAAGCTGAAAATATTGAAGCTAGCCCTACAAATGATACCGAGAATACCAACACTAACTCTATCAATGTTAATGATTTACCTGATTCGAGTAATAGTCTAACCATTAATTTGAATTCTTCTTCTACAAGTTCAAGTCTTCATGCGACACAAACAAATAGGCATCATATGATAACTCGTCGAAAACTTGATACTCAGCCTGATCTTGACCCTATATTGGCTGAAAGCATTCAACAACATCGAGAAAAGTGGATACATAAAGCCTTCACTACTACCATGACCGCTTCAGTACCAAAAAGTGTTAAAACGGATCTCACTATCCCACATTGGCGTGAAGCCATGCTTGAAGAGCTCCAAGCACTCCACACCAACCAAACATGGACCATTGTTTCTCGACCATCTAATGCTAATATAATTAGATCCAAGTGGATTTTTTGAATCAAGCATAGAGAAGATGGATCGATTGAAAGATTCAAAGCTAGACTAGTTGCACAAGGATACAAACAAATTGAAGGAGTGGATTATTAATAAACATATAGCCCAGTAGTCAAGGCCACAACGATTCAGCTTGTTCTTGCAGTTGCAGTGTCAGAAAAATGGACAGTGCGACAACTAGAAGTCAATAATGCCTTTCTTCATGGCTACCTCAAGGAGACGATTTACATGAAACAACCTCCTATATTTAAGGACTCTCAACATCCAAACCATGTCTGCAAACTGCACAAGTCACTCTATGATCTTAAACAAGCTTCTAGAGCGTGGTTTGATCGTTTATCAAAATTTCGTATTTATATTGGGTTTAAATGCAGTCAAGCTCATCCTTCTCTCTTTATATTACATAATAAAATATTGTTGTACTAATGTTAATTTATGTTGATGATATTGTTCTCACAGGAAACAATGACATATTTTCAGAGGAACTTATCAAGAAACTACAATCTGAATTCTCTCTCAAGGATCTTGGCCAACTTCATTACTTCCTTGGTCTCAAAGTTCAATATTTCCCTAGAGGAATCACTATTTACCAAAGTAGGTATGCAAAGGAACTACTACATCGAGCCAAGCTCACAAATTGTTCTCACTTCAATACTTCCATAGCATTAAAATCACTATCGTCACGTGAAGACTCAAAAACCATTGATTCAACAGAGTATCGAAGCTTAGTAGGTGCTCTCCAATACCTCACCTACACTCGGCCTGATATTGTTCATGCAGTCAACAAAGTCTGCCAACATCTCCAACATCCGATGGAAGAGCATATGAGAGCCGTCAAAAGAATTCTTCGATATCTAAAAGGAACAACAGACTATGGCCTTAAATTCCTTTCTCAAAGTCCATTCAAACTTTATAGTTTATTGATGCAGATTGGGCAGGTTGTCTGGATACAAGGAGAAGTACTTCAGGTTTTTGCACATATTTATGTGCTAATTGTATTTCATGGTCCTCCAAGAAACAACCAACAATATCTCGATCTAGCACAGAAGCATAATATCGTTCCATGGTATCTACGACGGCTGAATTAGTTTGGATAACTTTTCTCCTTCGAGACATTAGTATTCCACTACATCACTCACCTCAGCTTTTTTGTGATAATAAAAGTGCACTGTATATGTCAATTAATCCAGTATTTCATGCTCGAGCCAAGCATATTGATATAGACTATCACTTAGTTCGAGAAAAGGTTGCTCTTGGCGCACTCACCACACGATATATTCCCTTTGAGCTTCAAATTGCAAATATACTTACTAAACCTCTTCCAAAGCTTCCCTTCCGATCATTTCGAGCCATGTTAGGAGTACATTCAATCATTACCTCCAGCTTGAAAAAGGGTGAAAAGGAAAGCAGTTGAATTATGTCAAGTGCCAACTAAGGAAAGAAGTTGAATCCACTATTCTGAATGAAGACAACAAGGAAACAAAGAAAGGTTTATTTGTATATATGGAAAGAGAGATTCTCCAAGACCAATTCAAGCCATTGAAAACTCTTTTCTAATTTCTCTCTTGTAGCCGTTGGGTCTGCTTTGGAATTACTTTTCCTTGCCTTTTTCATTTCCAATCTCTTGTGTATATAATATGATATCTTGTATATTAGAAAACACAGAGTAGGAATGAGATTATTCTATGTTTAAATCTCTTCAATAATTATGAGGAGGTTTATATGAATTTGCCACAAGGATTCTATAGGCAGGGGAGTTTCAGGTTTGCAAGTTACTTAAGTATCGTTATAGACTCAAGTAGGCATCAAGACAGTGGAATATAAAGCTGACTATTGCTCTTACTAAGGCAGATTACTTACAAAGTGTCTATGATCATTCCTTGTTCACAAAAAAGTTAGGAACATACTTAGTAATCATCCTAGTATATGTGGATGACTTGATGATTACTAGGAGCAGCAGTGATATTATAGAAGAAGTTAAAATGACATCACATAAGTCTTTCAAGCTAAAAGACTTAAGAGAGTTGAGATATTTTTTGGGAATTGAAATCATGAGGTCACACAAAGGCATACTACTGAATCAAAGAAAGTATACATTAGAGCTTATATCAGAATTAGGAATCAGTGGTGCAAAATCTGCAAGTTCACCCCGTGAGCAAAAGCGAAAGTTTACTACTGTTGACTATGATAAGCATGTTGGACTCAAAGGAGATGAGGAGCTAATAGATATTGGAGGCTATCAGAAACTGCTTGGGAAGTTGATTTGTTTGACCATAACCAGACCTGATATCTGCTTTGCAGTACAAGTCATAATTCAATTTATGCAACATCCAAAGCAATCACACTTAGAGGCAGCTATGAGAGTGGTAAAATATATAAAAGGGTCACCAGGAAAAGGAATACTATTCAAGAAGGGATCATTAAAAGAGATTTCAGCCTATTGTGATTCTTACTGGGAAGCCTGCCCAAACATCAGAAGATTAGTGACAGGTTATGTCATTAAACTTGGTGAATCATTGATTTCTTGGAAGTCTAAGAAGCAACAGACAATAAGTAGAAGTTCTGCATAAGTAGAGTATAGAAGCATTGCAGATGTTAGTGCAGAATTGGTATGGCTAGTAGGATTGCTTAGAGAATTTGGTGTATCCTTACAGATTCCAATAAAGGTTTTTTTGTGATAGCAAAACGACTTTACAAATAGCTTCAAATCCAATCTATCATGAGCGGACAAAACATACAGAAATTTATTTCCATTTGTGAGAGAAAAGATCAAAAGTGGATTGATATCGATTCACTATATTTGTACAAGAGAACAGGTAGCAGACATGATGACCAAGGGCCTTGGAGTCGCTCAGCATCAGATGTTGATGTCCAAACTGGGAATGTTCGATGCTTTCCATTCTCCAGTTTGAGGGGAAGTATCAACAACATTAGATAGAGTTAGTTAGTTGAGAAACTAATTGAGAGACCTAAGTGTAGACAAAAGAACTTTAGAGGCCATATTATTAGAGGGGTGTGAAGGGCACGTGATTATGATATATAGAACAGTGCCCTTCCCAATTCAATGGTATCATTTTCTTCTACTGAAGCTAAGAAAATGTTCTCTCCTTCTCTCCAACTCTTCTCTTCATTTCTCTTTCTAGTTTTTGTCAAATGCAACCCTAGATTTATTTGCATGTTATGAAGCTTGATTCAACAAATTGACACCTTTAAATGTCGAACGCATCCCTTCGAGGCGTTAGCTTTAAGATCGTACTCTCTTTGATCCATTTTAAGTGTTTTCTAAGGTTTTTACACACTCATTAAGAAAATTATTAATAGTAGCATTGATGATAAAAGGTTATTTGACTAAGTTATCATGTATCTCCTCGAGCATGTAATTTTTGTATAAAAAGTTGTGTAGATCATTTATTTTAGCAAGGATATACTAGGAAGAAATGATTAGTGCTACTCCATCTTGACTCTTAAAATGACACTTATTAGACCAAGTTTGAAAAGCTAAAAAGACGCTTAAAATGGACCTCACTGAGGTTTCAAGCTAAGTACACATTAAGTAGTGCCAAACATAGTATAACATTCAAATCGCAAAACTGATTAAACTCATAAAACGTAAAATGATATCCTATCGAAACGACAAGATCAGAATAAGTAAGAAAAGAAATTGATATTCCAGTGTTGGAATGTCCTCGGCCTCGGAATTAATAAGTTTTCTGACAGCTCTTCAAAGTTTTGAGCCGTAGAGAGATCGTCGCATTTTCTTGTAGTTTAAGTGCTGCACATATGGAAGAGGACAGAAGTTAAAAATTATAAAGACTTTTTAAACTATCAATTTATTGCATATAACTTAAACTATTGTTACAAAAGAGGGCAGAAGTTAAGAAAGGCTAAATAAAAAGTATTAAAAATAAAGAAGCAAGACAACCACTATAAATTCTTCTCAGTATAGATAAACAAGAAGCAATGATCCGACCTGTGATTTTGAGCATTTGCATTCTGTTCAGCTGCTTGAAGTTTTGAGTAGCTTCATATGATGTATTATGGCTTGTGTGAATTGTCGGTTTTGGTTTCAAGGTGATCCGGAGTTGATTTGAAAGAATGATTCTCAACTAGGAAGCTTTAAGTTGAAAGCATTGACCAAGTTTGATTTTTGGGTATTCGACTCCGGATCGGAGTTTTGATGGTTTCGTTAGATACGGATGGTGATTTTAGACTTGGGCAGATTCCCGAATTTGTATTTGGATGTTTCTTGAAGGTTTTGGCATTAGTTGGCGAAAGTTGGCAATTTGGAGTTTTGGAATGTTCATAAGTCTTACCGGAAGTTGACTTTTGTGATAGCGTGATCGGATTTTTGTTTCCGAGAGTTGGAATAGCTTTGTTATGTAATTTAAAACTTGTATGCAAAATTTGAGGTCATTCCGAATTGATTTGGTATGGTTCGGCACGAGATTTGGAAGTTGAGAGTTCAAAAGTTCATTAAGTTCGATTTGACGTGCAATTCATTGTTTTGATGTTGTAATGCATGATTTGAGTCCTCGAGTATGTCCGTGTTATGTTGGACATGTTGGTATGTTCGGACGGGATCTCGAGGGGATCAGGCGTGTTTCGAGTTGATTTCGGACCATCTTGGGCCATGTTGTTATTGCTGGTTTCTGCTGTTACCTATTGCTTCTGGTGTTCTTCATGATCGCGAAGGTCCAACCGCGATCGCGGAGTATATTTTGGTCTGATGCGAATTCATTCTTCACGGACGCGATATATGGAACGCATTCCAAACGGTAAGTTGATTGTGTTTCGCGTTCGTGATGAAGTGTCGCATACACATAGAGTTGAGTTGAGGAGTTGGGAGCTAGGGAAATGTCTTCGTGTTCGTGTAGTAGTAGACGTGTTCGCGAAGGTCTGATCTACTGTGCATCGCGTTCACGAGGGTCCATGCCGTGAACGCGTAGAGTCTTTTGTGCCGGTGAAGTTTTGTTCATCGCGAACGCGATTGTTTTCCCGTGTTCGCGAAGGGTATATTTGTCCAGTGATTATAAAGTACTCTATTTTTGAACTTTGAGTTATTTCATCACATTTTAAGTTGGGGAGTTCTTATTTGGGTGATTTTGGAAGCTATCTTAACCACATATATTGGGGTAAGTATTGTCTACTCGATTTTGATTATACTCCGTAATTCAATCTTCATTTTTGGCCTTTAATTGATGAATTCAAAAGAGAAATTGGGTTTTTTTTGTCTAAACTTTCCTAAAGTGTATTTTTGAGTTTTGAACAGCGATTCAGAGTCGGAATTGAGTGAAATTAGTATGGTTGGACTCGTAATTGAATGGTTATTGGATTTAGTAAGTTTTGTCGGGTTTCGAGGTGCGAGCCCAGGTTTGACTTTTTGGTTGACATGGGGTAAATGTGTAAAGATTTGACCTTTATCAATTAGGTTTGCTTCCTATGGCATTATTTGATAATTTTTAGTTGCTTTTTGCTAGTTTCGAGCCGTTCAAAGGACGATTTGAGCAGGATGGCGCTTCTAAGGAATCGATTGGGCTTGTTTGAGGTAAGTATATTGCCTAACTTTGTGTGTGGGGAAGCTACCCATTAGGTTTTGGAAGATGGTACAATTTGAATTATGTGGAAGACATTTACACGAAGTGATGAGTGTGTACATGAGCTTATATGTTGTATTTGACCCGTGTAGACTTCTAAACTTCTCCTATGAATTTAATTGTATTTGTCACAACATGTTATATCTTTCATTGTTGAATTTGCTCGTACGTTCCTTACATGAAGTTGTTAGTAAATGTTCTATATTTTATTGTCAAGTTCACTCTTATATGTTTTATTTATTAATTGTAATTACTAATTGAATTCATGCCTTATCTGTTACATGCCTTAAATGTTAATTGATTCTTGGTAGTCATGTCTTTATTTATAAATTGTAATTACTTGCTATTTGATTTTGGGAGTTATCGTGTAACTTTATCATCCGTTTCTGACTTCGTGTATAGTTTCCTTATTGCGTTTGGTTTTTTGTGATATCCCATAGTTGGTAATTCCTATTGTTTGGGGTTTGGGTTGCACGCCGCAATGGCATTGAAATGATATGAAAAGATATGATATGGAGCGATAATGATGGATGATATAACATAGGTGGGATCAGGTTGCATGCTGTAACGAATATTGTCATTGTTGTGTGGGATCGGGTTTCACGCTGCAACAGATTGATAATGTTGTAATTGTTTTGACAATAAAGTTATCCTAAATTATTTTTCTCATGGTGCATTCTATGTTGGAACTATTTATCGGTTTGACGATTATTGTTTTCCTTAAATAATTTCACTGGAATATAATCATATTTGGTTGACCGTTGTTAATCCAGTATTGGGACGATAGTGAATCCTTGTGGGAGTCATTATTCTACATGGCTTGTTGTGTTACTCTAATGTGCCAATATATGCCTTTGTTATTACTTAGTAAATAGAATGTCAAGGTGAATTTACTTACGTAGGGTCATTATCTCATATTTTGTTGATGTAATGATCCGATCAGTCATTTTGAGCATTTGCATTTCATTCAGTTATTTGAAGTCTTGAGCAGCATCATATGATGTATTATGACTTGTGTGAATCGTCGGTTTTGGTTTTCAGGTTATTCAGAATTGATTTGGAAGAATGAATTTCATGATTTAAGCTTAAAGTTGGAAGAGACCAAGTTTTACTTTTTAGTATTTGACCTTGGATTGGAGTTTTGATGGTTCCATTAGGTCCAGATGATGATTTTCGACTCGAGCATATGACCGGATTTGCATTCTTGAATGTTTCGACGCTAATTGGCGAAAGTTGGAAGTTTGAAGGATTGGAATGTTCATAAGTTTGATCCGAAGTTGACTTTGGTGATATCGGGTTTGAATTGTGGCTCCGGGAATTGAAATAGCTTTTTATGTCATTTGAGACTTGTGTGTAAAATTTAAGTTCATTCTGAGTTGATTTGATAAGGTTCGGCACAAGTTTTGGAAGTTGAAAGATTCAAAGTTCATTAAGTTCGATTTTAGGTGCGATTCATAGTTTAGATATTGTTATGCATGATTTGAGGCCTCGAATAAGTTTGTATTATGTTATGGGACTTTTTGGATAGGTTTGGGTTATGTTGCGCTCGGTTGAGTTTCGGATATGTTTGGGTTATGTTGTGCTCGTGTTTTAATATTGCGATGTCGTTTCTTTAAGCATAAACGGTACCACATTAATCAAATGAGCTCCAATTTCTATTTTGATTGAAGCATTAGATCCGTATCCTAGTTTTAGAACCGTAGAAACTGGAATCATCAAGTTTCGACATCATATGAGGAATTTATGGTCATTTTACTAGAAATTGCGTTGCCATATTTTTTCAGATTAATTACGAAATTGCTACTGAATTCGTATTTAAAAATTTGTACTATTTCCAAATATTGAAACCAACATATCTCCATTATTATAAAGTCAAATGGAGTGATTCAAAAGCCTAACTTGACTGAAATTTCACAAAATATCCATTGGAGGCATCAAAAGTGAATTTCAGAATCATTTGTCACTAGAAACGAAGC